TTCCAATGAACCCCTGCTATTCAGAAAGATGCTATCGATGAAACATGTAGAGATCATTAGTGTGCAGTTTTCGAGAAAGTTTCATGTTGTTATTGAATTATCCTGTGACACAGGATTGAGCTCACTGGGATGCCATGTAGTCAAAAAATTGCCTAGGTCTATGGGAAACAACCTTTTTTAATTATAAAAAAGCAGCCATGAAACTTACTGATTATAAAAAATTAAAGAGCATCCATAAATGTATTGAATTGTGTCTAAAAACGAAATTCACATAAAATTATCCTAGATCATCATAGGGCCAACAGTATCTATGAGAATCATATATATTCCTATAGAGTTATAACCAGTATATGAGTCCTCAGCACATGAAAACTTGACTTCCTATGTAACATTCGATGCGTATTAGAAAATTCTATGAAATCGTGTATATGATGTTCTGGTTCTACGTAGGTTACCAAATTCGGCAGTGTCCTTTCATAGCATTCATCATATATTAAAGGTATTTATATTTAACGAGCGATTAAACAATGAAGTAGATGCTAAAACAAAAAGAGAAATGAATACATGAAGATTAATCTAGTGAATAAGAAACTTAATAGTACTATTCATAATAACATGCTTCATAACCTTCAAGAGTTTTGTTTAAGCATCGTTTGATATATAATAAAATACAACATCGTCTCAAATGTTTTCTTTTTATTAATACAACTTAACATAACCATAAAAATATTGGCATAAAAAAAAACTAATACGACACGCAAATATCAAATTAATCAAGAAATAATAATACGATGAGATAAAAAACTAATAAAAATGGATGTATGTTTGTCTTCTCTTCACTCACACTCTCTCTATAAAGATTGTTCATTTCCCATCAAATTACCTTCATTCTTGATGAATTTGTACTGTAAAATATCATGGAATAGTTTTTCATGTTATATTTTTTTGTGAATATTAAAGTATATATTGGTGAATTGTATTTTATATTCAAGAATAAATTTAAAAAAAAAATTTCCTTTGATAAAATTCCGATATCTATTATCCGTGTACGATATTTTGAACTCCTTCATTTAATAACTACCAAAAAACAAATCTATTCATTATAGTTTTTTCTTTTGGTATATCAATAAGTGAAATTTCCATTTTTACTTTCGATACTGTTTATTTATTTATTATAAATATCTGAATATTATCATACATATATACGATAGCATTTATTTCTCTAAAAAAAGCACAAAATTTCAATAGCACTCAACACACTCTATGAACATAAGGACTAAAGTAAATGATAAACACCATTAACTCAATGTATCAAAATAGAATGTTGGATATTAAAAAAACAAATAGAATGAACGGGATTTCTATTAATAAAAGTTTTATTATTGGTTAAAATATGATGATTTATAGCATCTGCACAAGCCGGAAAATTATTATAGATGAAAAAAATGTATAACAGACTTTTCTATATATCAATGTCTAGGAAATATAAACGATAGTGACAGTTAATTATAAAGTGAAAGTAAGAATGTAACACTAATAGAAAAAGAAATAGTTTAATATGACTGATAAAAGAACTGAAACCATATTTATCACCGTAAAGAAAATAATAGAAACTGTTCGCAATGAATTTTATATATATTTTTATGTTTATGATGGTTTATTTTCAATTTTATCATTGATATTAATTTGTGATGAAAATAAAAGTTATTAATGTTGAGCGAAAAAAAATATGTATATTTGTCAAAGAAATTTTCTACTGTATTTCAACGCCTAAATAAAAGAAATTTTCATTATCATTTTTTTTCCATTGTATTGCTTGAATAATAGATTCTTCAACTCTAACAGCTACTATTAAATTAATACCAAGCATTTCAATAGACTGAGTTTACCAGCTGTTGTCTAGTTATTGAGCTTACATCCATTCCTATTTAGTTCTGCAGTGGACATTAGTAAAGTTTATAAAATAAAATCTCCTACTAAACTCAACAGAGACCAATGTGAAAATTTCAGTTGCAGTACAAAAGAAAATAATTTTTGAAATAATGTTAATTTTTCAATTCTACAGCGATCTAATAAAATTTTTTTCGTTTTGATTGAATTATTTAACTTTCATATCAATTACGGTTCTATCCTTCTTTATTATTATTTATTTCGTTTCGCATTATGAAAATAATTTCGAGATTTTTTGTGGTTATTAAAACACTCTATCTACAGCATATAATTGATCATAATGAAAAAGAATTCAAGTAATAAAATAACAAATTCGTACAGTATATCCTTTGTGCAAAAAAAAAAATATGAAACATTGCTTTTGTATGGATCTTATAATAATAGTAGAAATTTAGCAATAATTCAAAATGATTTACATGAATACTTAAGATGTTAGCGTTGAAAAACATTGTCTGAAAGTTTCAGACCATCATATTATTTCGTTCCGAAATGAATTTTGTATTTAATGAATATCTTCTTTGTTTTCACTTACAGTGGATTATATTCAAAATATAAACAGTTATATTAAATAATGTGTTTTTTTTTCAACTCTATCTATTGAAAAAGGAATTGATTATAGAACTAAACTTTATCAGTGCAAAAATTGCATTTCATAAGGAGAAAAGCTCTGTCACCTTGTATATATTTCTATCAACTCCGTTACCTATTAAATAATACCAAATAGAATGAATATCTTGTACTTTATTTAGAAAGACTAATCATTTTTGTAACTAAATGAATGTCACAAATCAATTTACCAAAATAAATAAAAAGATGACGACGACTTTGAATAACCTAATTAAATATTATTTAATGATACTTATTAAAAGATAAATTCACGTTATATTTATGTATTATTTACTATTCATGTGAAATAATTCGACAGAAAAAATTCAAAAATATTTACAGTACTGAAAAGAATGCCTAAATTTTTTTTTTGAAATATCATCAAATTCATCTTAATCAATCACATACACAATTGACAATATCATATTATTTTCTAGTCGATTCACTATACTGATTTGCTGCATCCCAATAAACATTAAAAAAAAATTATATCTACTCGTTATTATATATAAATATGAAAACTAGATCAACACTGACTTTCTGTTCTGATTATAGCCGATCAATTACTTTTTTCTTCATAATTATAGAGAAAACTCAAAGCATCTGATTTTATGTTGTTGCAACAGATATTTTTGATTATATAAGCAACTCATTATCGACAATAAACAAATGAACAATCTGTAGCTTGTGCCTATAACACGTTTGTAAATAAAACATAAAAAAAAGTTAGACAAAAAATTAAACTTTAATTAGCTGAAAAAGAATTTTCTTTTCTCATAAGAGAAGATTGACGTGATGGTTTACTAAGTCATTGATTTCAATTCAACATTATTAAGAAATATTTTGAAAACTTAGGAAACAATCATTTTTTGTAACTTATTCAAAATAACAATCAATCAATGAAATAATAATATATTTTAGATATCTCTAAATAGCAAAAAAGCAATTATTTTATTCCAATGAAAACATTTTTAATGAATTATCTGCTCCTCCAGATAGAATAAATTGATCAATCAACACATAAAACACGATCTTCATGTCCTTGAAGATCATACAAAGGAACTTTTAATGATTGAGTATACCATAATTTAACTAATGTATCCTATGAATCAGAGCCTAATCCTAATGATTAATTTGAACATTATGTTTTATTTATCTCTTCGTCGCTGTCCCCTCCCCCGCCCCTCCCCCCCGCTCCCGCCGCCCCCCCCTCCCTCTCTCTGCTCTTCCCTTTCTTTTCTCTTTTCTTC